CTAAAAACTCAAGCTCAAACACAAAAACTAAGCAGATTTCACGTTGTGAGTCCTTAAAATGTTTACTATTTCTTGAAAGAAAAAAAAACCAACGAGTTGTCCGGCGCTTCATTAAGTTTTGCTCCCATTGCCCCTCCCTCTCAAAAGCCCTGTGTGAAGTTACAATTTACTTTAATAGGCTTCTGTTAAAAACTTTTTGCAATTTATTAGTAAGAGGGAGACGTTTATCTATTAATTTTAAAAATGCTTTTCCTATATTTGTTGAAAATTTTTTTTCTGTACGGAGGGTTGAACCAAATTATACTTTATTTTCTATTTCGCTATTTTGAAATTTTTGTTTCAAATTTTAGCTCGAAATTTTTGTTTCACATTTTAGCTCAAATTTTAGATTTTTTTTAAGAGCAAACGTTTAGAAGAGTTAAAAATATTTTCAGTAGACGAGTTTTGATTTAGTCTATTAATGTTTGAAATAAGAATTAGTTTCAAGATTTGAGGGGATTGATTTAAATTTATAATTTGATTTATTTATTTAGTTATTTATTTCGTCCTTTAAAATAAGTTTTACAATATTTTACAACTTAACAATATAAATTTTGAAAAATTCCGACTGGCAGAAGACATGGTCTTATCAACTATCTCCGTTGTTACAAATTCAGATATAATCTTGTATAAACATCTTCTAAAATACACATGGATAAGTATTTTTTTTTTCCTTTAATAGTTGTATAGGGCATAAAGTTCTATTATTTTTAATTTACAAAAATTATATATATTTTTTTAAATCACTGATTAATACTTTTTAATTCATTACAACAATTAAAACATAATAAAAGAAAAACAAAAATAAGACAGATAATATATAAATGCTTTGACCGGTTTCTTTTCTTTAATATTATAAAAAACAACATTTTTCTATTCAAATTTTTCTTTCAAATTACATTATAAATTAAAAAAGGAAATTTAGTTGATAAACAATAAGGTTAATTTATATGAAGAAGAAACAACACAATAACCCAAGTTTTTTTCTATATGTTTTTGATTTAAGATACTGCTTTCAGAAAAGTTAAACTTACTTTGTGAATCTATTTTATTATAATTTATTATTGATTGTATATTTAATCAAATGAAAAACATATTTTTAAGGTCGGATTTTGTCTTCATCATTATTTATATACATATATATATATATATATATATATATATATATATATATATATATATATATATATATATATATATATATATATATATATATGTGTGTGTGTGTGTGTGTGTGTGTGTGTGTGTGTGTGTGTGTGTGTGTGTGTGTGTGTGTGTGTGTGTGTGTGTGTGTGTGTGTGTGTGTGTGTGTGTGTGTGATAAAATGTCTGCTAAAAATTACAATAAACTGATGAACGGAAATGTTACAAAAACCTATAAAAAAAGCACCTGATAATTTAGAAAAATCGGTCAACCTAGAAGCCAACCAAATAGCTTTAAAATTAAATTTAAGTAACCAAATATAATACCAATCGAAATCTCCAGCATTTATCACCTTAAAAGACCATAAAGAAAACTTTAAATCAAAACCTTCCTGCCATCTCATTAACCCGGCAAAAAGCGAAATCGGAATAATAAGCAAAAAAATCTTTGATATTACAAACACATATTTAAGAATTAGCCTAAAAATAAATCAAAGGAAAATCACCACCGACGTTATTAATTGGTTTAACGGCATAGAAGACAAAATTAGTTGTTTCTTCATCCAATTTGTCATAAACGAAATTTATCTATTAATAACTACCAAAATATTTAATAAAGTCGTTTCCTTTGCAAAACAAAACTCCACAATAACAGACAACCAATTTAGAATTATAATACATAACCGAAAATCCCTTCTCTACTACAACAATAACACGTGGATAAAAAAATCAATGGGCAGTTGCAATAGCGCTGAAATTTGCGAACTTGTAGGGATCTACATACTCAACGAACTATCCGATATAATTACAAAAACCGACATAGAACTTTACCGTGATGATGGCTTGTTGATAATACGTAATTCTAACAGCCAAGAAATAGAGCGAATGCAAAAAAACATAATCCAAAAAGTTTAAAGATGTTGAATTTCAAATAGATATAAAAACAAATCTTAAATCAGTTAACTTCTTTCATGTCACTTTTAATTTAGCCCAAAACACCCATAACCCTTTCAAAAAATCCAACGATAATCTTTAATACACCCACCCATCTTCTATTCACCCACCACAAACTATCAAAAACTTACCTACTTCAATATCTAACAGACTTTAACAAGCGAAGTTATATTTAATCAATCTAAAAACGAATATGAATAAGTACTAAAAATCGATAATGCTAATGTTCCCGTAAGTGTTCATTTTTTTGTAAAATCTGTCCCCGTAAGTGCTAAACTATAGAAATATATATATATATATATATATATATATATATATATATATATATATATATATATATATATATATATATATATATAAAATTGAGTTATAACTGCCTGTTATCTTTATATATCCTAATATAATAAAGTGTATGTTATAATAATAATAATAATAATATGTTATATTTAATATTATATACATGTAATAATAACAATCACATACACTTTATTATATTAAAACATATAAAATTAGTGTTTCAATAAATAATGATATTATAAAATTTAAGATTTATCACGCTAAGATTGTTTTAATCTCTATTTATCGATTATCTTATGAAATTTAAGTATTTATATACTGATGTATATAAAAAAATAAGCCTACAACACCAATTTATAAGAAATAAAGAACAAAAGTACGGTTGTTATATAAAACGTTCTCTGTAGTTAAGAACCGCAGCCATTTTAAAAGTTCAAAGTTTGGAATTATTTTGTAACGCATGCGCTATGTTTTGTTAACAAGCGCTATGTTTAGCGCTAGTAAACGACGTTGACAAATTGATAATTTTTAAGTAAAATAAAATTCTTTTTTGGGGAATATTTTCCGGGGGGATCGGGAGGATTATTTCCGGACTGGTTTTTTACCGGGGAATTTTTTCCTAGAACCAAGAATCAGATGGTAGCAGATTTGTTTATAATTTTAATAAGTTTATATTTTATTATATTGTTTATGAATTTGTAAAATTCTATAAAATATTGGAGCCTACTGTTTTTTGAATAAAAATATTCGGACTTATATAATTTTCCGGATTAGTCAAAAATTAGTCCGGATAAACCGAAAAAAATAAAGTAAACTTTTTTTATAAAAACCGGATATTTTTCTTTTAAATATAGAAATATAAATAAAAATTCAAAGTCTTGTGAAAAAATCAGCTCAATATATTGAATGCTTCCTAATTTATAAGCCTATTTCCTCATTTTGTATTAGAGCAACGCATAGTAGGCCGTCGGGAAGAGATCTTAAAGGGAGGGGAAAGCGTATTTATATTTTGCCGAGTGAGGCCTACAAAAAATTTTGTGTCGACTTTTAAAAATAAAAAAAAGCTCCCCATTGGCTAATATTTGCCTACTAATTAACTAATTAATTGCCGAATAATTAGTTTGCCAACTAACTAATTTCCGACCAGTTTTGCCGACTCCAGAGCCTAAATTTGCTGACTAATTAATTTCCTAAGAAGGATAGACACCCCCCTTGGATCCCTCCTCGGATACTCGGTTTTTGTTCTCTGATTTCTGCATACACCAGCAGAAATCAGAGAACAAAAACGTTTGGATAAAGTGAATACAAACAAATCTAGCTTATCTTTTCTTGTATTAAAGTAACAAAAAGGTTTAGATGATTTAGTAGCTGTAGGAAAAGAATTGAAGAACGCGATGACTAGCAAAAAGAAAATTCAATAAGCAATTAAAACTCTTTGACTTAATCGTTGTCAAGGAAAGAAATTTTAATTACAATGAAATAATTACAATGAAAAAAAAAAAATAATAACTAATATTAACATAATAATAAGTGAATGATTTATTAGGATGGTGTCACTGATACAGAAATCTGATCAAAGGAGTGACACCGGTATAATTAATTAAATTTATACGCAGTAATTAGCATGTAATTAAAACGCTATTCAATTGTTTGTTTTGTAAAAATATAATCATTACACATGAAAGAACCTGTTGCGCGAAAATTTGATGTTGAAATGAAAATTTACTTTAACGTAAAGAAAAAATTGTGAGATGTTAGTTTTATTAACTAGGAGATTTAGTAGAATAAAAGGTATTTCATTTGTTTTTTTGGTTTGTGGAAAATAGAAAATTTAAAGACATGCTTCAACTTTGCTGATGTTTTTAGCATTTTTCATGTCATTGTTCCAGTTAGCTCAACTAATTTTTCTCTGGTAGTTTCTTAATTAGAAATTTATTTACAAAGGTTCACTTCGCTACTCAAAATAAAACCATAACAAATTAGTTTAAATCTTAAAAAAAGTCACAAAATAACAAATCACATATTTTTTTTAATGTTTATAATAAAATTATGTTTAACTTTTTCATGTAATTAATAAGCTTAAATTATTCCTTTGTAAATGATGATAGTTAACAAGTTTATAGTTTCACTCGCACCTTTAAAAAAAGTCATTTAATTTACGATGTGTAATAATATGTATAATTGTTTAACTTAGATTACACAAAATTTTACTATATATATATATATATATATATATATATATATATATATATATATATATATATATATATATATATATATATATATATATATATATATATATATATATATATATATATATATATATATATATATACAAGCAGTGAAATTAATATTTTTTGTCTTATTAGATTTGATGTCATCATTTTGAAATAATATCCTATGTTTAATGAATATTGTATAAAAAAATCTTTTTTAAAAACATCTTTTTACGTCACTCTTTATAAAAAATAATTCTTTAGCTTTTATTTTGAAGGTAATAGTAATCCTCGCAAAGCGTAAATTGTTAACGATGTTTATAAAAAATACCAACTTTAAAAGTGATGATTTTGTGTTTTTAATGCAACTTTATTAATTCATTTACGCATACATTTAAGAGAAAAGTTTTGTTTGCTTCGAAGAACTTAATTATATTGCTGAATTTGAGAAAATTATATGTTTAATTGCTACATTAGATTTAATACTAAAGAAAGCTCAATGATGGAGTAATAATGGAGTACTGCTTCTAAAGATTAATATCCTTTAAAAACATAGATCGTAAAGCCTTGATACAAAATTTTAATCTTATATTTAGCAAATTAAAGACAAAAAAAAAAAAAAAAAATGGCAAATGTAATATACGGTAATATATAGTTCGAAACATTTGTATTAAAAAATTGTATTCTTCTGCGTTAATTTTAGTTCATATAATTATTATTTATTTATATTCATGTTTTATGTTTGTTTTTTTCTTGAAATTTTATAATTATGAGAATTATTTAAAAATATCTGATAGCTTACTAAAAAAGTAAAATTTTAACTTAGCTGCCGGAGGTCTTATTATACTTCATACTGCACAGTGCCAACCAAAAGACTCGACATCAATTATTGTCACAAACCTTCTTTCTATCGGTAAGGCACTTTTAAATTGGCTATTTTTCATTGATATGAGAACATTTATTTATATATATATATATATATATATATATATATATATATATATATATATATATATATATATATATATATATATATATATATATATATATATATATATATATATATATATATATATATATATATATATATATATATATATATATATATCGTATAAAATCAAAACAATTCTTGATAGTTACATGAGAGCTATTTAAATAAATGTTACTGTTACCCGCAGTACCAGAAAATAGCTAATTTTTGTAATTATATTAATAATAAAATATAGTTTTAAAACTCGGAACTTCATGTGTTCAACAACCATCAGATAAGTAGCAAAAATATAAATATTGCTACGAACTTTTACTTAGAAAGGTTTGTAGCAATATTTGGTTTTTATTTAGGTTTGGAGCGGGAATTGGTTAGTAGTTAGAGAGTAGGTGTTATTTATTTATTAGTAGTTAGTTTATAAAAAATAAAATTTAAAGTTTGTTTAGGTAATTTAAATTTGATTAAATTGTTAATTCTTTATATTATTAAAAATTTTAATTTTAAAAATGAGGTAAAACAAGTGTATAACATGATTAAAAATTTTTTTATTTATTTCTAGATAAAATATTTTATTTGAGAATCTTATTAGTTAATTAGGATTGTTGCTAGTTGTGGAACTTTTTATTAAATACTTTTTTTCATTACAGCATACAAGGCCGGCGCAAAGGGGTGTGTGTGTGTGTGGGTGTGTGTGTGACACCCCCCATCAATGATTTTTAGTCGGTAAATTTGACCCTTAGTCGGCAAATTTGACTTTTTTCGACTAGTTAGTTGGCAAATGTCGACCCTTTCGATATAGGTTAGTCGGTATTAGTTGGTAATTTAGACAGTTAGTCGGCAAAGGTCGTCTGGCAGTCGGCAAATTTTCGAAATCGAGGGCTTTTTTTTTTTTTTTTTTTTTTTTGCCATATAAGTATATATACATTTTTGCCATATAAGTATATATAAGTATATATACATACAATCAATATTTCAGATAAATACAGATGGCCGGGGTAAGAAGAAGACACAATTTGTCTTATCACCAAGCCCCGAGAATTGACTCCGTAAAATAAAAACTATTACTTACAGTAAATGTAATTGTAACCAGTATAAAGGAAATAAGATTTTCTGGTAATAAATATATAAAAATAGTAAAAATATATAAAAAGAGTAATAAATACATAAAAAATAAAACTTTGCAACATATAACTAGTGAAAAAGTTTATATTCTTTTGAAAAAATCAAATAAAAAGTTACAAATTAGAAAAAATAAAATGTTGGTTTAACTCTTAAGATATGAATAAATAAAAAGATGTTAATTAGTTAAAATTAAATACTAATTAATATCATTAATCAGAAGTAAAGTAGATAAGGATTTGAATCTCTCAAAATATATATATATATATATATATATATATATATATATATATATATATATATATATATATATATATATATATACATATATATTTAAATATTTAAATATATAGGTTATAATTCGTCCAAAGTGACAAAAGGTTGGAAAGATAAACTTTAAAATAAATTAAAAAAGCTTATCTTTACTACTCCGTCACTAACAGGAAGCATTTGTTTCAATTTTACTTTGAATTTGTTAAGAGTTTCATGAGTTTTAAGTTTATTAGATATAAATTTATTTCATACTTTTGGCCCTCTAATAGATATTTAAAACTCCGTGGCTGCAAAAAAACTTTTAGGCTGAATATAAGTGTTGCTTGAGTATCTGGTTAAGTATCTATTTTTATTTATTATGAATAACGAATTAAAAATGTTAAGCATTATTTTTGAATTAACTTTGAAAATAAAAACTAAAAGGTGATAAATGTTTATTTGGTAGACGGTGAGTGTATATAGCTTTATAAATAGTTCTTTGGAGTGTGTAAAACGGTCTACATTAGACAATATTCTGAAAGCATGTTTTTGCTTATTAAAAAGTTTTTTAATTTTGTTTTGATTTGTGCTACACCAAGCTATGTTTGCGTAATTCAGATAACAATGAATAAAGGAGAATATAAACAAGTTTGATTTATTGGTTTTGTAACATTTACGATTTAAATCCCAAACAAAGCGATATAGGGTGGTTGCTTTTTGGTACGTTTTGTTTACGTTCATGGTAGAACTAATCTTGATTCTACAGTTGCATTTTTGTTAAATACCTTTAACTTTTGAATGAAAATTTTTATTTTGTTGTAGTGAAAATTTTTATTTTGTGAATAATGATTTTGTGAATGAAAATTTTTATTTTGTTGTAGTGGTTTTAAATGATTTTTTTCAATATTTTTGGTACCGCTGAGCTGACTTTCACTGTTTATCGATTTAGGATTTTGTATAGCTTATGTATTTTGATGGAAGTTTTTATCAAAAAATTTTAAAAAACATTTTGAGACATTTTGTTTATTTAAGGTGGTACACCAGAGAAAAATTGAAACTGTGAAATATTATATATAATATTTACCTTCGATTTTTTTAAAAAAAATTATCACAATTATTTTTATTCAAAAAAATATTTTTGAAAAATCATTAAAAATCCATAATGGCGGGAAAAAAAACAAAAAAGGCTGTATTTCAAAACAGGATATCTTGATCTAGTCAAAGGTGTATGGATTAAAAATTGACACAATGATAAAACAACTTATTATACACCGATTGACCCATGGATTTTTAAAAATTTTGAAAATTACTCTCTTTATTACAAATTTACTGAAATTTTTGAAAACTTTCCGTAGATTTATAGTAATAACTTTTTATTTAACCAAATGAAAGAAAAACCCATAGCAACCAGAGCATCAACAATAAATAATGAAAGAAAAACCCATGAGTCAACCAGAGCATCAACAATAAATAATGAAAGAAAAACCCATGAGTCAACCAGAGCATCAACAATAAATAAATTTCCTGAAAATTTCAGCTCATGAAACTAAATTTTACTTAAGTTATCATGTTTTGAATTTTACAAATTGCTAAAAAAGCTATCATGCGAAAAAATAAGAAATAAAAAAGTATACATCATTTTGAAGTGTTAAAACTGTTTGATAAAATTTGTGACTTCTATCAATGCAGTTTAGACCGGGTAAAATAAAAACAGTTCTTTCTTGATGATTTTATGCCTTCATCATTTTCATGTTAAAAATCACTTCCAAACAAAGTTAAAAACTTGTTGCTATGAGGTTGCTAGGGAGTTTTATATAATAGTGGGGTTCAAATAGGTCAAAATAAAGCTCTATATTTTAACAATAATGTCGAAAGTTTTTTTAAAAAGTCAACCTAAAGTCAACCTAAAGTTTTTTTAAAAAGTCAAACCTAAAATCAATCTTTCATAATATTAAAAAAAAAAATCAAAAAAACTTTTATTTGTCATTTTTTTTCCTGGTGTACTACCTTAATGGAGGATAAAACCATATTGATTATTTGGTTTGATTTTTGTTTGATAGTAAATTTAAAGGAAGCTGTGTGTAGGGAGGAGGTGAGGGGGGGATATATCATTAAAATGAGCTCAAAAAATAGTTTACAACTAAACTAATGAAAAATACACACGATGCCTTATAATGGTAAAACGATATTCTAAAAAAACATGCTGCTCCTTCAATTCGATATAAACATAATGGGATTATTTGATGGTGTTCAGGTTTGTAAAATTGTAGGAATTTTCATACCTAACAAACTATTCACAAAAAGCGATGTAGAAGTGTATCGCGATGACGGCTTACTTATTTTGCAAAGCTGCAACAGCCAAGATACTCGCAAAATTAGAAAAAAAAAAGTTTTTAAATTGATATATAAACAAACATAAAATCAGTAAAACTCTATGCGATCATCTTTAATTTAAAAGATAGCATCTATAAACTATTTAAAAAACCAAATGACAACCTACAGTATATGCAAACATCTTCAAACCATCCACGGCAGATTCTGAAACACTTGCCTCCATCATTTTGCAATAGGTTACTGGAAAATCTTTCTAAAAAAAAACAGTATTCAGTAAAGCTAAATAAGAATACGAGCAAGTATTTAAAACATCTGGCTATAATTTCTCACTCCCCTCCTTTGTCTTCACGAAAAAGATGCAATTATTTCTTACTCAAAACCAAAAAAACTACTAAATAAACTGAGTTCATATCAAAATGCCGTCACGAAAAAACTATTTATTAAAAATTTACATATTTAACTACAATCCTAATTAACTAATAACATTCACAAATAAAATATTTTATCTAAAAAAAAAAAAAAGGAATTTAATCTTACAACTTACTTGTTTTACCTCATTTTTAAAATTAAAATTTTTAATATATACAATGAATTAACAGTCTAATAAAATTTAAATTACCTAAACAAACTTTAAATTTTATTTCTCCACTTTTATAAACAAACTACTAATAAATAAATAACACTTATTCTCTAACTACTAACAAATTCCAGCTCCAAACCTAAATAAAAACCAATATTTTCTAAGTAAAAATTTGTAGCAAAGTTTATATTTCTGCTACTTACCTGATGGTTGTGTAACACTTTAAACTCCGAGTTTTAAAACTATATTTTATTATCAATATTATTATAAATATTAGCTATATGCTATTTTCCTGGTACTGTGGTTAATGATAATATATATATATATATATATATATATATATATATATATATATATATATATATATATATATATATATATATATATATATATATATATATATATATATGTATATATATATATATATATATATATATATATATATATATATATATGTATATATATATATATATATATATATATATATATATATATATATATATATATATATATATATATATATATATATATATATATATATATATAATTCAATAAATACGACTGTGTCTAAACTTTTTATGAAAAAATATATAATTATTTTTATTTTAATATATATTCGATATTTCGCTGATTTATTGTGCTCAGCGTTATCAGGTATAGTGAATAAAAATCTTTACAAAGAAAATCGTTATAATAAAAACAAACTGTTAAAAAGATAATATTAAAAAAAAGCATGAGAATATACAAAATAGGTTTTTAAATGTTGACGTCAGATAATCTAATAAAAAATGGTCCACAAGCCACTTCCCAACTCTTTTCGAACTTTAGCTCTGTTTATTTCCAAAGATTAACGAATTTTTTGAATATGATTTTCTGTAGCAATCGATATGGTTTTGGGATTTAACCAGTCAAACATACCTTGGCATGATCTGGAGTGTTCAGTAGCACCCAAATTGACCCATTTTCCTTTTATACTATTTTTCTGGTACTCAATATATTGATACAATTTTCTTTCTAGTTTCACCAATGTATATAGAATTGCATGAACATTTTATTTGTTAGACGTCTCGGTTTGCATTTGAAGTTTTGTCTTACTATTAAAGAATAAATTGTTTAAATAAATTTCTGTTTTATTTTTTTAAAATTTCTCTAAGTTTGGGATAAACAATTGGTATCAATGGCAGCTTTATTAATGATTGGTTGACAATTGGTTGATAATTGGTATTTTTAAACCTTTTTTTATATAGTCTCTGGCGATATTAGTTAGATTGTTCTTGTCGTACCCGTTTTCAACAAATATTTTTATTAGAAAATCAATTTCTTGTTGGAGGTATTTTTGAGATCATATTCTTTTTGCTCGGCATAAAAACTCTTTGAATACGCTAGTGATTTGAGTTTGGTTTAAGCTGAATATTAGTTATTGCTTTCTTCTTTTTGATGTATTTGAAATTCATAAGCTTCATGCATTGTGTTTGAAATTAAGTTGTTTTTGGTGGTTTTTGAGTTCAAAAGTGTAATTTATGGCAGGACTTTGTTCGTTTAGAATATTAAGAAACATTTGTTGTTGTTTTATTTAGTTAAAGCGACCTTTACAGTTATCTATATATCTCATGAAAGTTTTTGGTTCACATGTATGAAAAGTAGCTATATGAAGGGTTTTTATTTCTAAACTTTGTAGAAACGATTAGAAAGAATTAAGCAAGCTGATAAAGAAAAATTAACTCAAATCGTATCTTGCAACAAAGAAGCCACTACTAAACATCAAAGACCGTCTTTAGCTAAGAAAATAGTGCAAAGAACGAGCTGCACGGACTATAGAGCAATGGAGAAAAGTAATTTTCTCGGACAAGTTGAACTTTGAACTTATCCATTGC